GACGATTATCATGAGTTTGGGAGAGATTATGCTGTAGAGATTGATGCATGGAGACATCATTAGTCTCCAAACTACTGATCCATTACCCAGGGTGGTGTGGGTACCAGTAGAGATGCGAGTATCGGCATCAGTGGAGGTGCGAGTAGTAGCATCAGCGAGGATACAAGTGGAGCAGTGGGCGCAACTAGTACCAGTACCAGCAGCAGTACTGTTAGCATTGCTGGTGGCAGCACGAGGGAAGATGCTAGTGGCGTACCTTCGTTTAGCTCCATTCCTGAGTTCTTCCAGAGGTTGAGGAAGAACTATATGGGGGTGAAGACGGAGAAGTTTAGGAGTCTCCAGGAGTTCGAGCGGAAGACTGGTGAGAGTCTTCGTGAGGCATACACTTGTATGCAACGGCTGATCTCAGTTACTCACGGTGTGACTGAGGCACATGCTGTCAAGTATTGGTATCGGATTCTGGACAGAGAGTTGCGGAGGAGAGTTCGTGATGCTACTCTCATGAGCGACGCATCACCCACATTAGCTCATGTGTTTGCTCTTTCTGAGAGATTGAGCTTAACATGGTGGAAGAGAGTGTGGTGACGTCTACATTTGCGAGAGACACGACCACTACCTCGCGTATCTCACATAGCATAGCACAGTCTCGCCGCATGGATGGTGGTAGTGGAAGTCGTGGAATTCATACACGACATCCTTCAGGTCACAAAGAGCCCAGTGCGCGGCCACCACTGCCTTCATTTTTGGGCGAGCCACAGGGACCATCATGTTGGACATGCGGAGATGGTTATATGAGGAAGGATTGTCCTTAGGAGAGAGGGGGTTAAACTTTATAGGCTAGGCCACAGCCGGCAAAGGTGACGTGTGATCATTGTGGTTGATCGGGTCATCCTCGAGAGCGTTGTTTTGACCTTCATCTGGAGTTGAGATTTGGAGGCAGAGGTCGTGGCGGCGATGCTCCACGAGGCCGAGGTGGCCAAGGTGGTAGAGATACCGGTGCCATTGAGCGTACCGCAGCGAGTGCTACTTCCGTCACAGAGAGCGCTATGGCTGCTCGGATTGAGCAGTTGGAACATAAGCTTGCTGCTATGGTTGGTCTGGAGGCGAGCACTTCCACATCTTACGAGGGAGAGGATTTCTCCTATTTGGCCAGTGTAGCACAGGTTGAGGCATCAGTTGCAGTGACCAGAGGTGGCGCTCGCACTTCAGAGCCACGTGGTGCGATTGTGGAGTTGGACCCTCAGAGGGATGAGGATGGATGTTAGTCTAGACTTCCCCAGTCTTTTTTGTTGTCGGAGGTGGGTAGTAGTTCATCTATGAAACCTGCACCGCCTAGTGACACTAGAGTGAGAACTGAGGTTCTTACATCATCTGTTGTGGACACAGACGTGCCATCTAGTGCAGTGATGCGGATGGCTACTTCAGTCTTGCGATCTTCATTTTTTTCAGCCACGGAGTTGATGGACTCTGGTATTGACCTCCAGAAAGTATGGCCTCCGGAAAGGTCATCTTGAGGACTGGGATATTCAGTTACCATGGTTGGCCATGGAATATCGGTTCAGTCGGCAAGCATCCTTGGCTTTCTTCTCACCATATTTTCTATTGTACGGCCGAGATCCAAACTTGCCAACATCCATTCATCGTGAGTCTAGCAAGGTGGTGAACCTTGATGATCCGAACATGTGGGTGAGAGTATGTTCTCAACGTGTAGAGCTCTTTCGGAGAGTTATGCCTACAGCGTTTGAGAATCTTGCGATTGCTCAACATAGAGATACGTTGCGATATGCAACCATTCGGGGAGGAGGTTATCGACCATCGATTCGTAGATTCCATGTGGGTGACTAAGTCTATTTACAGCAGACTGCACCAACGACATTGGATGTGACGGCGGGACGCACAATCTTGCGAGTGCGGGAGGTGTTACCTTCTGGAGTTCTCCTGTTGGAGGGTCGTTACGGCGTTGTTTGGAAGGATCATGTGCGCAATTGTGTGCCATGCCACCTCCCAAACGTAGATAGCACTATGGACCCAAGCTTGGCAATAGTATGTGCTGGCTTGAGGTGCATGCTGTGTGGGTCAACTGGCCAAGCGACCTGTATGTTGGTGTGTGATAGGTGTTCTAGGGGATGACACATGTTGTGTCTGACTCCACCTATCGATGTTATTCCGGCTGGACGATGGGTTTGTACTCGATGTACTTCAGAGGGATAGATGACTTGATCTTCACATGTTATGAATTGTATATATGCGACTAACGATGAGGCGACATAGCACCCGGCCTACTAGCTTAACAATATTGAAGTCATGAGGCTTTGTATGACAATTATCTTGCACAAATGTGTAAAGTAGGGGTAGTAAGAAAATCATGAAGTTTATGAGAGGATGAGGAAATCTCGTTCATGGCAGTAAGCTATTCCAGATGAAAATGCATCATATGATTCGGTGAAAAAGTTTGTACATTCATATGTATTTTAGTTTATAAAAATAAAAATCTGATATCTGATAAAGAGTTACAAAAATCTGATATCTCTTCAAATGAAACAACCACCTTTAGAACGTTAATAATTTAATAATATTTTTTAATAATGAATAATTTTAATATATAATTAAAAATATAAATTTATTTTTTATTTATTTAATTTTTCAAGTCACGACTATCAGCAATTTAAGATAATATATTAAGATTTTAATAAAAAAAGTTTTGATATAATTTCATTCTTTTTTGGTATAATTTATTTAAATATAAATCTAGGAAAATAAAAATATCATTATTTTAAATCAAAATTATTCTATAATCATATCTAATATCATATCAAATCATATGTGAAGAACTTCAATCAAGCTTGTATATAATGAAAATCATAAATTATACGATTTAAATTTTGAAAATGTGATTCAGTGATTAGAAAATACTTGTTCATATCAGTTTGTATTTTCTCTTTTCATAATTTAAGCTCAATTTCTATTTTTTAATTGTCGTGAATACACGGGACGGGGACTCCGCGGCCTCTATTAGAGATAGGTAACAGCGTCCTACTATTTTCTAATCTTTTAAATCATCAATAAGATATCCAGATATAAATTATATATGTTCCGATGAATCAAAAGTGATGATATCCATGATATGTTGCCAAAATTCAATGGAAGATTTATTGATATTTTCATACTAAGATGTGAACTTGAAAGAAAAATACAATTGTATCATATACTCTATTATATAAAACATTAGATTATAAAAAAAATGAAATCAAAATGATTTTGAAAAAAAATTTCATCACTCATGAACGATTTTATATGATATGATTTATTATCATATCATATAAAATCGTATATATATCATGATATGATAACTTTTGTTACGCGGTTTCTCAAGAAAATTAACACTTCAAACTTATATTTCAATTTGAAGTGAAATTATTTTTAAACTGAATATATATTAGACCATTGTAGTCAAATGAAAGCAGAAAATAGTACCTCAAATAATTTTTAAGCTTGTGCTGATTTTTTATATGTGAATTATAAAATTTTAATAGTATTTATTTGATAATTATATACATTTGAAATATTTGTGTTTTTACAATTCATAGAAATTTCTTCATCTCACGTTAAGCTACTTTCTTGCTTTCATCTCTTTCAAATTGTCTTCTTCTGATTGATCTTATTCATTTTTGTTTCAAATGGTTGACTCGTATACATACTCTCTTTTTTCTCATTTTGTTCTACAAACGTTTTTTTTTGGTAATGATCCATAACATCATCAGAATAGATTGGTTTTATTTAATGATTATTTATTTAAGAAAAAATAGAGAAAAAATGCACTTGTGAGAAAAATAAAATTTATCAATCAATATTATTAATTATTAAATTAAATTTTTATATATCTTTTAAATTGTATGGAAGCTTATCATGTCACGAACATAAATTGTGAGTAAATTCCAATTCATGTGAAAAATATTATAATGTAACGTGAGTGGATGTCTTTGAGCACTTGATTTATAGCTCTGTTCAAACGAAATGTTTTAAAATCAAAATATAAAATTTAGTGAAGTACTCAAATATTTTTTAAATTATTTTGGATGTAAATTTTGAAACATTGAATTAGCCTTTACAGTATTATGATTCTGATCTTTGAAAATTCCAAAGTACACATCATTCTATATTTTAGAAAAATTATAAAATAAATATCCGAAAATGTAAAGTCTTACTTCATAAACTCTTAGGACGATTGCTATACCTCGAATACCCTTTAAAATGAAATATATATACGATTGATTGGAAATAGATTATTTTCGAATGTAGATCGTTCATTAAGATCACGACATCATATTGTACCCTTGCAAATCATGACATCTCGTCTCTCCCCATGTCAAAAAATGATTTTCAAATGTGAAGAGTTAAGTTTTCAGGGAGAGTGAAACTTGAATGTTTTTTTGGTCTAGATTCTACACACGAAATTCATCGCTGACAGGATATACTAAAATGCAAAACATGGCCGTTGTCCATTCTCCATGTACATGAATCGAATGGGAGTCAAAGTCTGACGGTAACGTGAGTTACCTGCGCGGTCTTGCGGCCTTTTACTTCCCTCTAAAATCTGTAGTACTGCAAACCATCCATCCATCCATCCATCCATCGTGGTCAAGGGGACGGAAGGGCTGTTCGACTCGAGGACGCAAGATACGCGCATAACCAACTAACTTTGGCCAAACTGTAACTGACAAACGCCCCATGACTTCGGGATCCACACAATTTGTGTATTTTCCAGCGTCCGATTTATGAACATTTGGTGGCGTGGCAGCTGGCCATTGGTCGCAAATCACATCTCCGGCCATTTCTTACGTAATAAATAGAGGGAATTACAGAAATTGGAAGGAGCCGTGCCCGTTGGCTTACTTAGTGCAAAGGGGCTCTAACCCCGTCGGCATCCGCGTAAGCAAGTGCCGATTGGCTCGTCGTGTGCGGATTAGTTCTAATGAAGGGCGTTAATGACCGGCGAGTGGTGGACTCAGTGGAGTGGACACGCTGCGAAGAGGGAGGGAAGAGCGTCGAAAGCAGCGGAGTGAAGGTTGGGAGAGAAAAGAGCTCGAGACATTCATCGATCACTGGCGAACCTGACACACAGGACGACAGAGGGCGAGAAGCGGCTCGGGGGTCGGATTGAAAGTCGTAGCCCGCGAAATTTCAGCAGGGAGGAAATGCAGTCCACGACGACTTGAGATCTGGAAATCCGAGATTCAGACGCAGATCTGGCCTCCGATAAACCTCGAGCGGCAGGTCCTACGGGACCTGGAACGGGATCCGGCGGTGGAGCGACTTCGTCGCAGTCTTTGACCCAGAGATCGAGATTGGTCACCGGCAATTCTGCGAGCGGAAAAGAACGGTTGGAACTCGAGCAAGAAGCAATTAGACGTAGGGACGAGCATTTGAGGAGCGTTCATCAGAAGAAGAAGAAGGAGAAGCAGGAGCAGGGAGGCCTTTTAACCTACAAGGAGTTGACATTTTGGGCGTTGTCTGGCTTAGGGTTTTTAGCAGTCATGGGATTCCTGATTTTCGGAGTGTTGCTTATGGTCGGTTTCATGAAGCCATTCGAAGACAGTGGTCCGCAGTCGGCTTGGGCTGCTACGGGCGAGGGCAAAGAGGTACAAGCTCATTGCATCGCCTAAAACTACTCTCCTGAATATCCATTGTCTTGTCATTGGTTTTTGGAACATTGTCATCTATCACAGGCTTTGGTTTTCTCTCCTTTGATGAAACTTCTTGTTTTTTTAACCTTGTTCGCAGACGGTTTAGTTTGTAGTTTACGGTTATCTTGACGTCTATTTCGAATTAAATCCTGTTTTATTTCTGCTTCGAGCGTGGACTATCTGACAGGTATTCCAACATATGTAAATGGTGTTGGATAGAACCCTCATCTATTTAAGTATTTCCAAGTTGATGATGGGCTAGCCTAAATGTTTACGTTTCTGTGATAGGTGACATATGGTAGCGTGATCAAGCTCCAACATGATCGGACGAAGTACAGATTACATTCACACGAGGTCCCCTACGGAACTGGAAGTGGGCAGCAGTCAGTGACCGGTTTCCCTGGTGGAGAGGATGCCAACAGCTACTGGGTGAGACATTTAGTAACTTTAACTGCCCGAGCAGCTTGGCTTTGTATGAATACCTTTTTTGAAGCCATTTAAAGCCCGACTGAAGTATTTACGCAAATGTCAGTGTCATTCTCTCACTTGCAGCGGGAGCTAGGGTCAATGCCGTTTTCGGTTTTGTTTTCTTTGATCTGATGGACTTAATTTTTTTAGTAGAACTTGCCATATTATTTTTACATTGTCTTTAAATCTGATATTGAGGTTTTTACATGCACCAGGTTGTGAAACCAGTAAGTGATTCAGATGCTCGACAAGGCGATTTAGTAAGCGATGGGGCTATCGTCAGATTGTTCCATACGCGCACTAGGAAATGGCTTCACAGTCACCTTCATGCTTCACCCATTACTGGCAATTACGAGGTTTGATATCTCCTCTCTGAGATTTTACCTGGGGCAAGTTGAGGTTGTTGAGAGTTCTGCCTGTTGGATGGGTATGTTTCCCCTGTTTTGCTCTATTTGGTCTCTGTTCGATCATACTCTGCATCTTATTCCGAGTCTTAGCTGGAAATGTTATTGCCGCATGAAACGGCGGAGAAATTCGTTCTTCAGAATCACTCAGTTCTTTTCTTTCGACAGGACTTGGCCTATCGAGAGAATAGAAACTCGTAGAACGACATGTGACTGAGCTACCATTTTATTTAACCTTAAACGTTTATTCCATTGCTCTATTATGCGAAAGAGAAATGGGTGATGTCAATTTATCTGCACTTCTCAGAGGTCATTTTCAACTTCTTTAGCCATGGCCTTTATGTCGGCATAACTTTTTTGGCTCAATTGTGGGTATACGCTGTTGTAAGGTACTTCTGTTTTAGGAGAGACTCTATCAAAGTTCGTTCAAGTTGGAGGGAACAAAGAAGTAAGATTATTACCAAAGCAGGTGTAAAATATGTAATTACTTATTACAGGATTGCCGCAGTTGATTCTGTTGCAGTTTGGATGGAAGCATTATATAAGAGCACTTCTGAAGCTGCTGGTGGCGAGTTGAATATAAGTCCTCGGCATAGACATATTATTACTTGGCTTAATAATTATGCTCATGAGATGACTTGCCTGGTAGAGCCTAAAGATAATCGGTGAGAATTAAAGGTTCAATATGGAAGGAAAACCGTGAATCCGAGACTAAGTAGCTTACTTAGTCTCGAATTCACGTTTTTACCATAAGAATATGTAATCGCTGATAATATTCGTGAGCTTCCCGTGTACAGTATATTACAGCGACAATCGATTTTCAAATATTGAGTGGACAGTACTGAAAAGGGGTTTTTACTTTTCCTCTCGGATAAGCAAGTATGGCAGGTCTGGCTTTCCAGAAAGCCTTTGGCACGAATGGTGACCGGTTTGAACTGGTTACCTCTTAAGTTTGCCCCAGTACCATGGTTGTCTCTGGTCATCGATTGTTTTCTCGTACCATATATTCTCTAGTTTATGTCCTCTGCCAGCACAATACCTGGTTTGCATTATGTTCTTTGCATGTCCTATGCACCGAAGAAAACTCTCGGGATGGTTTTCGGAGGGCCCGTCTACGTACACGTAGAAGAAGCAATACATTTGTCCTAGTCCCAACAAGAAACTGGTCGAGTTTTTGTTTGTCAATATCTTTGTGATCTCCTGAAAATAAATCTGTAGTAACGTTGCAACGTTTTGTGCGGATCTTTTCCTTGCCTCTACGTGTAAGGTTTAGTATACACGATATCTGCGTCGATACCACTGGTGTACAGTCTTTACCACATTCCCAAAACATTGCGGTGTTTCCTCTATCTGTCCTATTGTGCTCTGGGGTCACCGTTCTCTCATCCTTCCTTCTTTGTACTTACGCTCCTGTTACTTTTCTTCACCACGGACATATCTTTCTCGTTTAATTATCCACTCCTCACAATAGTTCGCTCTTTCTACTCATTTGCTCGATATATTTTCTTTGGCATTGAGTCATCTTATCTACGTATACTTTCAACATCGACTACCTCGAGTTGATTCCCTAGCTGTGTACTAGGACTGTTGAGAGGTTTCCGCGACTCCGGGTCGGTTTATGTACTTCTCATTTTATGTGTCTTCTTTCATTGTATTTGTTCATTGTTTTCAACTACGTGTGGCATGGAGAGACTGAAAAGTCATGAATCTGTTCATCTGATAGTTTATATATCCGTCTCTTCCTTTTATTGTTTCGACGTGAAGTAAAAGGAATGCGTTTAAGTCGATACGAAGGAAGGCGTCTGCAGCAGTGGTGCATGGCCCTAGCTTTCTGTTTAAATTGAGTGCAGGACCAATTGAAATTCTTATGCGTCTCTTGTAGTATTGCTGTCTTTTACGCAAAGGCTAAAAGATTATTTTCATCATGTGTCCAGGTTAGCGCGTTTGGAGCCGATGACCAATCTGACACCGGTGATCACTGGAAGTGAGTAGTTCCTCTTGTCTCACAAACTTCATCAAGTCCCATCTCTGAACATCCCTGGAGGTGTTCAAGACATCCCTGGAGGTGTTCAAGAGTTCAATGTTTTGTGTGCTTACGGAGTTCTTGATTGTTTGCAGATTAATTATAGAAGGCAAAGGAAAAGTGTGGCTTAGGGACCAAAAGGTCCGCTTCCTCCATGTTGATACTGGAGGTTATTTACACAGCCATGACAAAAAGTATAGCAGGATAGTTGCTGGCCAACAAGAGGTGACAATTCCCCTCTCATGACTTGCGCAATGAGTTTGTGGTAGTCGTTGTGGTGCGTGGTAGTCGTAAGGACTATTAACATACTTTATATTTACATCATAGTTTTACTACAAATAACATTTAGACATCCACAGTGGAGAGATCTACACTTTACTTTGCGTCAGGTTGTTAGAAGACTGGCGATTAATACTCGCCATAGAGGGCGTTTGATTAGCGAACGAAGGTAGAAATTTGCTGTGGTTCTGGTTTATTCTTTTAACTTACGCAAAACTATTCTTCTATCTTCTCCTGAAGACTTGTATTCTGACTATTCTGTGCGTCATTCTTTGACAGGTCTGCGGCTATCTAAAGAAGAACTCAGATAATTTGTGGTTTGCCGCGGAAGGTGTTTACTTCCCATCAAGAAATGAGGGTAAAGCTTCTATTTGAGGCTAGCACCTTTATTAATATTGTCATGGCTCCTTGGTTAAGGTCATTATCTACGAAGACTGGTAGGAGTAAGGTTGTGACATTTAAAGTTTTCCCCACATATTGTTATGACTAGAGTTCTCCACAAAGGAGAGATAGGCTCAAGGTCTCAGCATCCATTTTGTAGGTCGTCCATATAGGCGTTGTTGGTATCGCAGACCTGATGAGTAGGATGAGATAGTGTAAAGATGATTTTCTCATCGAGAAGTCTGGATCCTATTAACTGAACCGTGTACTTGCAAAAGGGATCTATATTATAATTTTGAAAAAAACTTACCTCGTATGACAATGTTCATTGCCCCTTCTGCCACTCTAATTGCTGATTGACTTATCACTTTTGGTAACCCAAAAGTATGGAGCAAGCCGGTTTTCTTGTATTTAAGATGAGGTTCTGTACTGGCGAATCGGAGACTCTTTCGGTCCTTATCAACCAGCAACTAACCTATGACTTTCTTTTCTTTGACACTGTACATAAAAAAATAATATGTAAAAACTCTCCACTTCAAGGTTATTGAGCTATTAAATAAATAGTTATGGAATCATAAAAACTTTTCTATAAATTATTCATTTAGTACTCTTGAAATAAAAAGGTATGAATGGTAAATTTGAATGATTGAAAATGCACAATGTTGAATAGGTATTTACATTCAAAATGAATTAAAAAATATATTCTAAAATAAAGAATTGAGGATGCATGAACCAATTTTTAGTTTCTTCAACATTTATATTTTATTTAATTTATGAAAAAGAAATTTTCAGTCATTACACTTACATTTTATGTAATATGTACAATACAATTGAAGTGCTACAATCTGTTGGATATATATGTAGACATAAAAATGATAACGTTTCTATTAAAAATTTGAAAAATTTATTTTTTAAGGATTATAATCAAAACTAGTACAAAATTGTTTCAGCATAACATCCGTTCATTTTTTAATAAGAGATTGGAATTTCGCTGAATATGGAAGGCATCAATCTGAATTATTATTAATCATTGACAAATGAATTGCTATGAACCAAAATATTTTTTTACAAAAAAACTTTTTTAAAAATAATTAGATAACTACGATGAGATGCTTGCATAGAGAGTTAACAAATTGATTGAAACAAATCTACTCAAATGATAATGCAAGTTTAAATACAAGACCATCAACCCAGTTTCAATCAGTTATCATTAATCTCATAAAAGTATAAATCAAAGAACTTTAGAACAATAAAATTTCAAAATATTTTGATGAGCAATTATGAAAGATGATTAAAATCATAAAATTATAATTAATTTTGAAGATATATATAGTACCTTCAATGTTTATCCAAATTTCAATATCAGAAGTATATAAAACGTTGAAAAAGAATTCAAGAAACGATAACATATCATGAATATATGTGGATTTCGCCCATAGTTACTGAGATTTTGGACAGAACAAATTAATACCACTTCAAGAGTGAAAAGTGAATAATGCTGGCTGCGTCCATTCGCGAAAGAGAAAATATATTCAAGACAAGCCAACGAGTAAAGTGGACGATGTCTTTTAAATCCAAAATCACAATGTCATGAATAGATCTGAAAACCATTTAGTGGGATATTAGTGGTACATGAACTGCGTTATCTAGTAAAAGTTGTTAACCGGAAAACATGCTATTTGACAAGATTGATTATGGAACATTGAAAGGTGAGTAATTGGTAGCCTTATGTGGGAGTGCATCGCAAATATTTCGTTCATAAATAGAAGTTAGTTGCAGAGCTTTAGCGCAATCAAAAATCTGGAGTAAAGATGCCAAATTGAATTCAATTACTAAAATTTAACCACGTTCTAATACATGTATTCACATTTTAAAATGACCATCTCATTAAAGGCTGCAGGAAAATACCGAAACCCAGTGCTTGAATTAAAATGACCGTGAAATAGATACAAAAGGATGTCTTTCAAAGTGAAATATAAAAATTTCTATTGATCTATTTCAAAAAAGTACTAAATGAAATGAACGAAATCATGAAATGATTCATGCACGAATCATATACAATTATACAAATTTTCACCAGGCCTCACGGACTTCATTCTTACTTCAGAAACCATCTTCACTGCACTACTTTTATAAACGAATTAAACAGTTGACAAAATCTTTTACAGCCCTCTTGACTCTTGAACGATAGAAATCTCTATGTTCCAAACTCATCTATCGTGATGAATTTAGAACGTGATTTTTTGAATCTTTGGTAAAAAATTGAAGTATAGTGTGTTTCAACTTAGGAAGAAACGTTGTGACTTGTATGATACTAAGTTCGTATTTTAAGTGTTGCCAACCTCGCTTTAAATAATAATAAAAAGGGACACTGAGAATCTTTCGGTTTTTATATAGTCTTTGTTGAAGAATGGAAAAAAAAGCGCATTCAATATCAGTATATAATGTCAATATCTGATACATTATACTAAATGAAGCCAGAAATGTTCACCATTTTTGAATAATCAAATTTTGCTATATATATATATTGTATATTGCATTAATTCTTCAGATAAGAATTCTAATTAATGTAATAATTATGAAAGATTCAATGAAAGACTTACTTTTTTATTTTTCTGATTGTCAGGGATGCATGGATCCCCTTGCATTTGTTTTGGTTACAGTTATTAAACAAATCATAGAGTCTGCACTGACGATGGATGTTCTACTTTTTTGGAAAAAAATTGTTTAAGTTGCACGATGATTGCAATTCACTTTACCTCTATTCTCGAGAGAGTAGAATTGGTATGAAGGAAATGTTGAAATGGCAATACGAAGCAAAGCAGGCAAAATGTCATGCGACTTACGGACTTCTATGGACCTCACCAAATCTAGTGTTGAAATAAACATAAAATAAAAAACATACAGGAATTCGTGAGCTCAAAGTGGCCATGGTTGGAGTCACAAAAGGTTTCCATGCTTTTGTACGCATCTAGCTCATTCGAAAGGCGTGCATGAGTAGCTGGAATATCTCGACCTACGTCTCCATGCCATCATCTTCCTTCTAATAGACGGGGTGTCATAATCTCCAGGTGGACAACGACTCTGAGTAGCCGGGACACTCATTTCATGAAGTCGCGGGCCAAAGCTTTCCATGTCGTGGAATGTATGTACGATACACGTAGGCCGTGTCCATCGGTCTCACATCTAACCCAGGAGTTCGATGCTTATGACTGTTGATCAGAACTCATTGGAAAATAAAATATTAGATGGCATCAGGTCAAATCGGGAAATACATTTATTATTAATACATGCACTTACTCAATAGAGTAGCACTGCTGTGTGTGGGTGACACGAACATACACCTGAATATGGAGTCACTGGAACTGTCTGCGATGTGAACCGTGCAGAATGCTGTGAGACTTCTTCACTTGAAACAAGTTGCATAAAAGGTGATCGGCTGCAAAGCATGCAGAGGCAGAAAAGCAAGTGACCTCGGCAGGACTCTTTGACACCCGCCGGTCAGAAAACAATTGTCACGGTGATCTGTTTTTGATCACCATACACATGAGCACGCCTTGATCTAACAGCAACATGATGAATGAATGGCCACAAGTTTCAATGCAAGAATTGCAGAGGACACAGTTAACCATGGTTCTACAGATTCTGAAGATGAGAATTTCACATGAGCTTTTCATCCATCAAATGTTGGATGCCCTCTGATGCGACGGCATCTTTAGCACTACGACTCTGATATCTACATATCTTTCTGGGTACGAATTTCTATTCCTGTTTCTTGTACATCATATACTCCATAGTAAATATGATCGTCGTCATTGAATCGACCTTTGACGGTCCCCTGGCAGGAAGCTGGGCTGGGCTGTCTAATTGTCAAATTCAAGCTCTCTACCTCCTGCCAGATTGACTCAGATAAGTACGGTCAGCAGATTGCTACTTCAGAGCCCTCTGCGGGACAAACATTGAGTCCCTCAACTGTGCCCAGGTTCATTTACCGTGTCAACATCTCAACGAAGAAGACGAGGAGAAGTCAGAGACTTACTGTTACTGTGCTGCGACAAGCAGTCTTTCAACTGTTCCTTTTCACGATTTCAGAATTCACCTCGAATCGTTAAATTATGCAGATTGCTCGCCCCAAGACACTCTGAGGTTCTCTGAAATACTGACCATGAGGTGAAACGAAGAAGGGCTCGCTGTACACAGTGAATGAAGTGTTGCATTCGATCCACATCGAGGTGCGGTAGCCTTCCGAAGAACTTACAGAAATAATGCACAACAGAACTGACATCCCAATCTTCTTCTGTAAGAGCGGAACTGAATCTTGTGGACAGGAGTGCAGACCGCGGATCTTATAAGCCAAATAACTCCTGCTGGTTGGTCCTGGGAAGATGAGCCTAACTCATTTGGACAGTTTTGCGAATAGAAAGGTCTCTTCACCCCCTTCCCACCACACACACATCCAACCAAGTAGTTATTACAGATCGTTGTCCCCGTCGAAACAGATCCCAAAGCACGAAGCTTTAATTTTCAGGAACTTTTCTCAGGCCACAGAATCACTGTAACTTCAACCCCGTGGCCTAGTAGCATAACTAGAAGATCCGAGCCCAGGAATGTTTTTCATTTACAAAAGGAAAAGGAATGATCCGCGCAAGGATGTTTCTTCTAGCTCTGTCACCAACAATCTAAAGTCCTCTCTAAGACAGAAGGAGAGAGGTGCCCCAACTATGTCTACTGTAGCTCAACCTCATACGTCATAGAGCACAAGCTGTTAAATTTGACCTCTCTGCTATATTCCTTCAGGCAGTAGCAGTAGGTGCTAACGATGGTTGAGATCTGGGGCAGCTAAGAATGTCTGCCAGTTCTTATCTCCATGCTTACCTCAACTTGTCCCTACATAGCAACCCCTATATAAGCAGGGACATTACTCCTAGTTGGAGATGTTACCCGATCGCCCGCACTGGTGGCACCTATATACAGCGATGTCGTCCAACCCCCACTCCCACTTGCTGCTAAGTTGGCACACAAGCCAATAGACAAACTAACGATTTAGCACCACGGCGTAGATCATGTTCAGTTCTGTTTCAGTTCTAGAACGTCCAAATGGACCATCCCAAGACTGGTGTTGAATGGTGCTGCAAAGTCAACGCAATTCTATGACACGATTCTATTCCTCCGTGTGTCATACATTTGGCAACGCAGCCTCAAGGCTGAGACACCAAAATCTATGCTGAGGTAAGACTGAGTACGAATAAGTGGGAAAACGACAATGAAGGAATGAAATTTAACCACTTCTTAAAACGATCGGAGTGTACTTGACCCGATGTGAGGGACTGAACATGCTCAATTGAGTAGATCCCGTCTAAAATCGGAAATTAAACTCATGGGGAGGGTTGAATACGTGCAATATAGGTAGGGAGACAAGCACAGCTACTTTCACGCACGTTGATATCCGGAATTTCTTCCCTCCTCTTGAACGTGCTTTCCGAGTGACAGAAATAGACTTTTTGCGAGAAACATTCGAGATCTTCAGAGTTACGGCGTAGCCTCGCAAGTGTGTTTATGATTGGGAGCTCCCTTGCTAAATAAATACATTGCTCGATTTGTCAAGTGCATTGATTAGCACAAATCCAGTGATTATGACGAATGACAGTAACCAATCTTCAGAACTTTTAACCCCTTACAGAAGACTATGTCTGCACAACTCACAAGAACCAATAGTCGAAACTGGAGCTCCAAAATAGGACATTACTGCAAAGGTATCTTTGAGGAACACTAGACTTTGCAGCTAGAGGAGAAAGTATGAATAACGATCGTACAGTGCATGCCATTCGATATATTTTACTGTCTAGATCCACCGAAAAAAGTAAATAGGCTGTCTCAATCTCTCTGAGATACAAATATACATTATTAAACATGTACGAGCAAAAGGGAGAGCGACAATTGTAGAAACGAGATTAGTGATATAAAAGGAGGCGCAACGAGCACTGGGGCCGCCAGGACGGGCATGGGTCACGAAAGGGGTACATGGGAGGGGAGGGGCCTTCTCTCGCTCGGCACCAAAGTCCCCAGATGACAAAACGCGGGACAGAGAATCTCGCCCTTCGCATCTGCCACGTTACCAAGGGCCAGTTGGCTCACCTCCACGCCAGTAACAAATGATTTAACAAACTCCCGAGCCTTCCTTCCAACTACTTTAACCTGCAGATCCGATCACAGTTAAAGGGTCTCAGAATCTGCCTACTCGTACAGTCCTTCGATGCATCCATCCCTGCCCTGCGAGTTGCAAGGACAGTAGGAATGCTCATGGTGCCTATCGATGCTCATTGCTTTCTTCAGGGCTTGCATCTCCTACATAGCGACCAATATACTGCACTTGAATACGGATCGAGAGTACTGCCACGTGCTTATCGCTTGTTGGCTCCTCGGATCGTCTCCATGTTGTATGGATGGCTCATTACCACCACACTAATCTTGGATGAGATCAGGACCAGATTTTGCCCTGCTTAGGATCCGCCGATCCCTTCATCTCGTCCGTTCTCCTGCACCGGTAGACTATGTCAAAGTAAAACCCACCGGGAAAAGACTCCAAGCTGAAGATCAATGGTCAGATCGAGCTAAAATTTTCCCTCAATTATTGATCCAATTGTAGCTGTAATGCCAGTCTAACCTTCGTAGGCTTTTTCTTGTAGGCAATTTTGAACTAGTTTTCAAAAATTTTTACTTTAGAAATTTTCATGAAACAAAATTTCCCAATTTTAGTTCATGCAAAAAATATTAAATTTATGTATAGGAAATATCCGCTATATATTTTATGTGAAGTTAATGATATATATAATACATTATTCAAAGTCTAGAAGACTTTGTTTTCATCTCCTGAGGATTGAAGATGGGGACAACACCGAAAGACACGCAAATACAAAGTTCTTTGAAACCATGAGAAAAGTACCATCAATTTTAATGAAGGGCTTGTCACGTCTTTTTGTGTCTTCTAATTGGATTTTGAAAATTCTTAGTACTGTATCTGATTTGCCGGATAAGGATTGATGGCATTCCTGTTCTTTCCTTTTCTTTTTTTGTTCCAAAATCTCAAGTGTAATGGTTGCAGAAGTAACATGGAATATTGAATGTTCAATGTGAATAAGAGCACATGATATAGAACTGAAATGAAATTCTCATTCATCGGATGTCCTTCCGTGGATTCACATACATATTTAACACATGAGAATGAGTCAGTAGTAGACCCTCAGTATCTTGAGATCTTTCCGGGACTGTATATGAAACATATATCACGGTCACACAAACTCCCAGTACTTACGTTGCACAAACATGTTCAATGTCATGTGGACAAACGTTCAATCCAATCGGGAACTTAAAATCGTCATTCCTAAACTACTTGGAACATTCACAATGAACTGCGTTTCATAAATTCGGAATATGAAGAAACACATGAAAACAGACGTGCCGTGGGGCATACGAACCATGAAGAAACAAGAGTATAGTCGCATAACGTAAATCATAAAAGCGTAGCGTGCTAATGATCCAACTGGATTCGAAAAATCATTAAGGCTCTCAAATTGGCAGATCACATGCAATTCAATATCCTTCAATCCAACACCTTTTATTACCGAAGAGCGCTATGTCACCTATAACCTCGTGGGTCTTTCAATACCAGAGCAAATGTGGATGCTAACTATCGTCCGATGATGGAAGCACAGTAAATTCTTGGAGCTGGTAGATGGCCAAAAGAACACTCGACATACATCCATGCATCATTCTTCCTATCATTGGATTCAAAGAGGAAATGATCATTCGACGATATGATGAAGAGGACAATAACCCTCTTAAGGGCTGGGGATGGGCATGAAAAAGGGCATCAGGGGTACATCTGAAAAAGCCTCGCATTTCGCCGTTCCGGATTCCATAGAAAGTTGGCGAATGCCACTGAGCTCGAGACGTCTTATGCAGCTAAAAAACGAAACGTATCCAGCGTAAACTCGCAGATTATTAAAACACGGAAGCCATTTGGACAGATTGCAACGCAGCATTTGTACCCAGCTGTTAAGAGAGGTTCTCACCATCTGGCCTTATTGATATTCTGCAGCAAACTCATGAGAAAGACATATTTTCAGAGGAAGGGAGTTCACTCGACCCCAAGGTTAAGGTCACGCTTGAGGCTGAGGTTAAGGCAGACGAGAAGAGTGTGAGAGCGAGGGCAGGTAACAATGGCTCGAGGAGCCAATCAGCGTCGATCCAACACTGTGGGCGGCCAACACGATCTACCCGGAGGCAGAGACAGAGGCGGTTCTACCTTCGAGCAGGAGTAGAAAAGACATTTCACGGTCACAGGAGATATTACCGGCACTTGGGCTAAACCGAGGCCGGGTCGAGCTGCACCGGCTCCCAAGTAACGCGGCCGGAGCAAAGTGGAGCTATGGCGGTCGTATGCAAATTCGGACACGGACACGGACTCGGTGCAGCGCAGCTCAGTCGCACGAGAAAGGCGGATCGACGGGAGTCAGGGAATTTGGCCGCGTGAAGGATTTCGCGCCACGACTGCAGAGCTCTCGTAGCGTCGACTCATGGGAGGATGGTGCAAATTGCGATCCTCCGTGCGGGGGAATAGGTGAGAGAAGCTTTTAGAATTATTCGAGGCTCACGGGGAACCGATACGTGCTCGCTGGCTCCAGTGATGGCGCTCCAGCTGCACACCTGCGCAGATTTGCGGCCGGACGCGTTGCATACCTTCTGCATATACGTTCGGGAAAGGAGAACGGTACGACACATTATCCCCCGTTCGTCTCATTTCTATTTCACACATTTTGTTTCCATGCACCACGGGACAGTGTTTCATGTCAGGGTTTGCACTGCGCCTCGAGAAAAGGCGACGCAAAAAGAACCCCGTTCGCGCTTTCGATTTGCTCGGTGAACTTCTTAATATCGCCATATGTCAGAACGAGCATCAATAACTAAAAACCCGATTCAGTTCGCTGCCTTGATGATCAGCGGAAGCGCGTTCGCATTCCCGAGGGAACTAGAGCGCGCACTTTCAATTCAAGAAATAGGAGATTCGACGAGCAAATTGGCCGAGACCGATTTACGATATTTCCTCTTTTCTTGCTTTGGGCAGAGAAATTGCACGACACGACGGAGAGCGCTGGCAGACGAAGGCTCGTCGGCGAGCAGAGCAGCAACAGGAGCAGCAGGTGCGCAAATCAGAGCTTCGCTGTCGCAGAGGGCCGGCGATGGACCGCCGAGCTCATCGGCGCGCCCGCAGCGGAGGAGCAGCAGCAGCAGCAGGCGACGCGGCGCGAAGCCGGACGCGGGGGACAGAAGTGCGCAGGTCGAGGAGTGGGTCAGCAGGAAGGTGAACGATCCTCTCGTGGAAATCGACCCCGTCACCGTGGACAAGAAGATCCAGGCAGAGGAGCGTCTGGCGCGGGAGGCGCGGGCGGCGCAACGGGCCGCCGAACGGGCGCAATCGGAAGCCGCGGAGTCCTCGTCGTTGGTGCCGCCGGAAGGAATCACAGCGACCGTAGCTCCGTCCTCGTTCGATCGACCGCCGCCGGGATTTCCCGGAGGACTGAACGCCTCGCCCAGAGCCGTGGCCGCGGCAGCCTTGGCTCTTCTCGCAGCCGGTGCCGCGTACCTCCTCCTCCGGAGCAACGCCAAGGCGCCGGGATCCCTGTCCCCGTCGCCGGTGCCGGCCCCCGTTCCAGGAAACCGGGACGTGGGCACTTCCAGAGTGATCCATCACAGCTCCGGCGCCGGCAAAGAGAGCTCCCCGCCGCAGGAGCTGCATGAGCAATTTCTACACGCCGGCAGCGACCAGGCCGTGAGCGTGCGCGCCTCCGTCGTCTTGACTTCCGTTCAGACGCAGACGATCACGACGGTCACCCCCGCGCCGGTATTTGTCGGCCACCAGGCGCAATCGGCAATTCCTTCGTCCTCCCCGGCCGTCGGGATGTCTTTCGCCGTGTCGCCGCCGTCCGACCGCGAGGCCAGACCCTTCGAGGAGGCCGTTGGGCTCGATGGCCCGTCGGGACAAGTGGCCGCGGACTTGGAAGTTGACGCCGTCGAGTTCCAGAAAGCTTTGGTTTTCGATTCGCCTCCAGCCGGGAAGGAATTGCTTCCCGAGTATTTACGAGCGTCTTCGGGCGCTGAGCCTCTTCCTTCGCCTGCTGCTGCTCGTGTTGCGCCCGCTGGCTTCTCCTCCTCCGGCCCCGAGTTCGCGGACGACCTGGCGGAGATTTCGGGCGTGCAATTGCCAGGTGCGGATTTCCGAAATGCGATGGTTTCGGACGCTTTTTCGATGGAGAAGTGTCTCGTAGATGATGGCTTCGTGTTCGAATCGTCATCCCCCCAACTCGTCGAAGATCCTGTACTCTTCAATTTGGACAACGATGCTCCTGCCCTCCCCGTTCCCGAAGATGTCCACATCGCAGGCGTCCAAAATGGGGCAGCGTCTGCCGAATCGGAATTTCAAGTAAGTGCCCTCGAACACGCTTTGATGCAAGTGGCTTGACAGCTCGCGAAGTCCGATGTGGCACGACGCCCGTATCGCTCTGTTCAATGAGACTCACTCGGATGGTCAATGATTACTTCATCAAAACTTTCGGACAGTCACTTTTGATGAAGTAATCATTGACCATCCGAGTGAGTTTCTTCACGGCTATGATATCGTTCCATCGTAGCTCTTGTAGATTTCTTCTTCTGTGATACTCCTGGTTCCTTTCGGTGGTCAGATTCTTACGTGTCTCGTCGTTTGCTTCAGCCGGAGGAGGACAGACGCAAATCATATGCCGAGGCACTCCAGGCAGTCGTTCCAGCAATCGCCGTCGGAGCTGGAGCTTTCAGCACATTTAGCGGATGTTTGTTTTCCTTCTCCCTTTCCACTGTCTGACCAAACTTCCGATTGTAGAATTGTTTACGGTTTCACGAGAGGTCCGATTGAATGTTAAGATTATATTCTAGGAAAAGGTTTAAAAGACATCATACGCCTTGAAGAAGGCGGGATTCAACTTTTAGTGACAGAAGTTTCACTCGCGAATGTCTACTGTGTACAGTGGATAGCGGTCTTGAAATGGTGGGACTCGTCGCCACGGCAAGCTTCGTAGCTCGAGAAATCTTTCTGGCCAGCTCGAGGTAATTGCTGCAATCTGTCTGACCCTATTGAAGCTCAGTAAAATGCAATCTACCACTCTAGTCAAGTGTTTGCTTCACTCCGACAGCACTTCGGCATATTACGTTTGTAGCAAGGTTACCATCTTTAGGCTTCAGTTAGTCTTACTTAATCGGAGACTGAAATCAGATGCGACGTTGTTGGTTCGTTCCTTATTGCAGACAACAGCTTTGTGGGGATGTTCGCAAAGTGAAGGATCACAAGTCATTTTTGGATTTCCTGAAAACTCGCGAAATCATCAGAGATCTACCACAAGAATAAAAAAGGACAAAAATGTTGGGAACAGTCAAAGCGTCCGGGCCAGTTCGGGGGATGGCTGAGGAAAATCCTGGGCTGGATCAGTTCCTGGATCCGATCAACGTATCCAGCTGACAGAGTGTACCATGCACCTCCCTTGTGAATATATGTATCGTGGCTTGTTATCATGTGATTGTGAGAAATCGTCAATTTCCTTCGAGATAGAACATTCCAATTTTCCGCTCCCGCGTCTCATGTGAGTCATAGATCGACTTCGAGACACCACATCCCGTTTCCTTTTTGCATTTCATTTATTCAAGTCTCTGCAGAGCTTGAAAAGCTTTAGCAGATGGACTATAGTTGGGTAGAGTTCTATACCTAGTAGAAATTAGAGAAGGTGTCTGTTACAAGAGACATCCTACGGTCCCTCTGTATTGATAATTAAATCAGACTCACTGTAATGCAGATATCTAGTGGATGATCCTTCAGAGACCATGAGCAATCCTTTCGAAGATCTTAACTGCTGAATCGTGCTGCCCATTTCCCGAGTTTTTCACGACTGCATTGTCGTCGTTGTTCTTGCCACGTCCAACACCGACACCCACTGGAAGTGGCTCTGACAGTACGTGAACTCGTATGTATTTCGTTGTTACATCATTTTCTGTTACGGAGTGATTAAAGTTTACAAAAGTTCTGAATTTCCTCATCCTTTACTGGAGATCATATTCTTTTTGCGAGATGTCTTCTAATCAACCATGGTTTCAAGTACGACTGCCGTATAGTTATATGCATAACTCCTCCAAGTTTAGATGTCCACTTGTATAGAGATGGCTGGCTCTCGATATCTGTGCAATCAATCGCAGCATCTCTCCACAAACCTTCTCATAAAATGTCAAATCAAATATTCTACAACACAATCACCCACCAGACAATCTGACTAAATGAATCGATTGCACAACTGGTCAGTTTTATCATAAATAGTTCTGAAATGATAAAGTCTAGTCTTATTCTCCAGTTTCTTCACGTCAGAAATCAAATATTGCTGGAAGACAGAGAAGGTTATAATCCAAATTGTTAAAAAAAAATATGATCGAAACCTTGTGGGAATTACTGAAATCTTTGGACATCCTACTGTGCCTAGTGTAGCTATAATTATGTTTTAAACAGGAGAATAGAAGAAACATACTAATGTTGTCTAATAATGTTACTTTTAATACATCACCACCTGGAAACGATAGTCTATAATTTTGAAAATCAAAATCTTGTATCGTACTTTTTTCTGGTCTTAAAGAATTAGTCTCAGATATGACATTATAAGCGAGAAGATGAACAAACACAATATATATCTTTATAATGTTAAATATAAAATATTTGTATTTGTAATAACAAATATTTTTTTTTGGAATATTTGCTTTTACAAGTAATGATGACTGTAGTCTTCAACATTGTACAAATAAACTTCAAAAAATTATTTTCAAAATAATAATGAGATTTAAAATTTGTAATGTGGATGATTGATTAAAAAAATTGGCATCTAAAAGTAAACTCATTGAATCAAAGATCTGTTAGTATTATCATATTATATATAGACATGGTAAAAATTATTCCAAAATTTTTTATACTTATAAATGAAATTATAAAATTTAATTTTATAATCAGTTTGATATATTCAATAAAATTCCACTATATACATTTTCATACATATATATGAAGGTGATTTTAGTTTGATTAAACTATTCGAATGGATATATTTATTTCAATCTTAAATATGTTTATTTATCAGTCAAAACTCCATATAAGGAAACTGCTTATGAGGATAACCTCGAAGATAAGTATAGTTTTTGTTGGTAACGTAGATTTTGGGCGGTAGAATAAGGATATCTTGGCCGTAAGGATATCCTTAGTGATTCACTGTCCCAATTTCTCAAACTCATCTATTTTGACCTCTACGTGCACCCTTACATCTAAATCTAGAACAACACAACCACCAAAAGGGAGTAGAGCCTTGAGCTATGTTGAGAAATGCATTATCGGAAGCTCTTTCGGTCCAATACCAGTTAGTCACAACATGAAGTTGTGGACAGGTTCACTGTGGAAGCATTAAGGTGTATGACAAAGTTAAAGCTTTGGAAGTAACAGAAGGGAAACATTCGGAATATGGCGCGCATTGAATGAGATCGAGGTCGATTGTTGCAAAACTTCTACAGCTATTAGGACTAAGCTCGACAGCTTTTTCAAGTTTGAATAGGCCATCTTTAATTAAGGATACCTCTACATATCCTTATAACCTCACGGTCGAGTTTTAACTGTAATGCAACAATTATTTGCTTAAAACTCATGATTGTGGTGGCATAAGATTTACAAACATATCAATCTTTATATTTAGAAATTATGTGTATGAAAATTCTATGTATATTTTTTAATTGATATTATCTGGGTAATAAAAAACTAACTATGTTTGTTTAGTAAAAAAATACTAATATTTCATGGAAAGTCAAAATCTCGTTATCAGAATTATTCATAAAATAAGAAGTGATGTTGTTAGAAAAAGTATAGATTGTACCATCGATCTGAATTTTAAGGTTTGAAATCTAAGAAATGTACCATGTATGTGTTGTCATAATTATTATCTTTTTTCTATTGACTTGATTGTAACACATGTGCAGATCTGAATATTCGTATATTTTTTAGGCATGTGATCTGCAGTATATTTTAGAATAAGTTTTCTTAAAAGTTACCTTTAACAGTTCAATTACTTTTGGTATGATCATGAATAATTATACCAAAATCGGAGGGCTAGTTTAGACGAAAATTGATCTATACTTATAACTATACATTTAGTAAATCAAGTCTTCCCAATATAATTCCTCACTATAAAATCAACATCATCTGATGATTTGGAAATGGTTTATGAGCAGGATTTGTGACAAAAGATGATGTTAGAAAACTAAACATGAAATCAAACAAAATCGAATAAAAAATTATGAAATGATTATCACACGAAAAAATTTACTTATCAACGTTTCAAGTTGATGCAACGACGTTGTGTACCTGTTTGTGAACTTCTTACTACAGGTACTATTGAAGAATTTGTGGTATTCTGGGTTGAGAACTGATAGCAAGTCAAGAATAAGTGTATATAAGAAGCGGAATGCCATACAAATCTTATCCATTGTGGCATATGTATCGACATGACCAATGAAAAATAAGAAGATGGGTCCAATTTTGAAACCAATTGAATTCAAAAGTACATCATGTTAGTAAACATAGACTCCTCTTTTCGAAGTATATATATCGGAATTCCCTACAGATTTTTTGGCGTGTCTTTTCCTTTTGAGAAATAAACATTTGAGAACACTGTGACAATAGCAGAATACAAGACTGCGTCCCAACTTTCGCTTGGTGGCAAGTCCATCCATTATGAAAGAATACATGATGAGAGATCACTATTCATGTTCTATGCTGCCACCTTTGTGTTTGCCAAATAGTTCAAGAACATGCACTAAATTATGTATTTTCAGTTAAGTTCTCTTTGCACCTGATGGAATAGCCAAATGAGATAATTTTTCAATGCACTCCTTTTGTGAAACTCTCTCTTGCTCAACAAGTATAATATCTTCTGAACAAGAGTCATTTAACTTCATCGAGACGATTGATGTAACAAGATTATTATTGGTACTCAGGTCAGATAACATGTCTCGTAGAGCCTCAAGCAATACACTTCGATGTCTCAGATGTTGTAACCTCTCCAACAACCAAATATCAGCGATGTATGTTTCAATGCTTCGCAGGTTTGGATTGGTACTCAAGTCGTATTTTTTGGCCACATCAATAAACGAAGTTCGAGATGAAAGTGGATCAAACTTTGGAAGAAAAGGAGCAGATTTGGGAGAGACTGGAGGGGATGTGGGTGGATTGTTGAAAGAAATGCACGAGCATATGAAAGATTTCGATGCTAGAGTAAAAATCTGAGGAAGTCCGTGGGGACAGAGCTGCAGAAGTTCATTTTCTGTATGGAGGAACGTTGCGGTGCCGGCGGCGCTGGCAGCTCCATGGAAGGAGACGAGCATGCGAAATCCTGCCAAATCTGCTGAAGAAGAAGAAGAAGAAGAAGCAAGAAGGCCATGATCATAACCAAGGCACCGAGTGGTCGCCAGATCTGTACATCTCAGCGAACATGATGGGGTTGAAATTCTCGCACTCACGAGAATCTCTCCTTCTCAGTATTGACTATTACCACCACACTCTCGGGAATCTCAAGGGTCGCAGTTCGGCCCTTGGGTTTGGGTTTCGTACTGTACTGCCGGCAGTGTCCACACGCAACACTTGGATCTTCAGGTGTTCGTGCTTGCGTCGTGTAGTCGTGCAGGCCTCGATTCATGCGGGCATAGTTTCTTGGATCACCGTCTGTGGGCTGTCATGGTGTGCAAGACCTGGATTCTTGGGCACTGTCACAGACTTCTGACGATCAGACGAACAGAACTCCGCAGTTTTCTCTGAGAGGCTGATTATGAAGGAGCAGTGTCCAAGGACGTGGAGGGGATTGGGCTGAGACTATGACCAGTCCTGCCTTGACTCTACCACGCGTTTTTGATCGGCTCTTGGTGTGACATCCATGGATCCTTCGAAGCTGTTCAAGCATCCTGGCCTTGACACTTCTCCACCTAGAGAAGGACAGAGGAGCATGACTGGACGGAGTGATCAATTGCTACGAATACGACGCCCAGTGACAGATCGCGGAGATGGCGTTGGCATATCTGCGTCTCTCTGTTTGATGAGTACAGCAACTCGGTCAGCTGCAAGCTTGTGACATCGAGCAGTGTACACGGAATGTCGTAAGACGTGACTTTCTGACTATCGAGCATTGACATCTTGGAAGAGTCGAAGAGTATTTATTGTACAGAGGAGAATCATATGTTCTGTGATGAATGGGCTCGAGCTTTACATCTCACGAGGGCGGAAAATTCGAATGGCCGACACCGAGAAGATAATCCAGACACCGGTTCCGACCTACCAGGCATGTGGACGAAACCTCAATCATTGCCAAAATAAGAATTCACTGCTTCATCGAGACAAACTGACACTGAGGCCAAAATTAACCCAAGCGCTGACTGATTGCTGGAAAGGAAGAGCGCAATCAACTCCGCGGACGGATAAAGCCAGAAATAACAACCAGAGACAACTGCTCAACGGAACCAGAGTGATAGACATATGCATACCAATATTGGTATTAAAACATTAACCCGTTTCGTACAAGAGACAAGTTCAATGAAGTCTTGCAATTGTAGACAAATTTTGTTGTTTGAATAGCCGCCTCCACTTTGAGAAGCATCCCTACCTACCCGCAATATCAAAATCTTGTCACCAGATGTAAGAATCGAACCTGATCTCAACAAACTGACAGCTGCTATTGTGTTGTACAAGACTACGAGCGGAACTCGAGTGCTGATTGCTCGGATGTGGTAGCTAACCTCTTTGCGAAATGTAAGAAGCTCAGCCGATGAATGGAGATCACAGAGCGAATGGCTCGAGAGCGAAAAAAATTTGGTTTTGTAATAGACTAAACTAGGTAATTGCATATACATGGTCAAGTTTTAAGTTATGTTATCTCTTCAGAGGCTGAATGTCACTGCTGTTAAGGGGCCGAGATCGGATTGACATCCAACCAGACATGGGTGCCAAATTCACATAGTTGACTATACACTGATTAAGTTCAGTGCGAGGAGTGTTTACAAGGCTATCCTCGCACACGCGTTACCAACCCACGACGAACATGTTCTAGTTCAACCACCATCTCCATCTGAAGGTCATGTCCAGGACGGATGACTACCCAACTCTGATGCCCAGAATCTCCACCTTAGTCCCGATCTCTATTCTGTACGTCCTGAAATCATCCATCCCAACAGGAGGTCCACATTAGATTCATAAGATTGCTCAGACCCGCTCGCGCAAGTCATTGATGTTCCCTCCCACACCCATACTGTGGGTCCTCTGCTCAAACGAAATCTGCATGACAATTCTCGTTCTAGAAGCACGAGGACATCCACTCTACGCAACGAACGCGGCCGTGTGAGGGTGCTACAAAACCTGGCGTTCTTTGAGGCTCTCGTCTTCGTTTTAAGAGAAACTTCAACGACAGACTACGTACGAGGCACATCATGAATCCCTGGAATGCGTGAATCCAGCTGCCCTGAGGTCAGCTAAGAAGCGCAGAGTCGATGTTGCATCGATGGATGATGACAGCTACATCAACAACCTCCGACACCTGGTCTGAAAGATGAAATAATAGAAAGGTCCTGAAGCAGCAGCTTTGAGCAGCAATAGGATATTGTGGTTCTGAAGAGAAACATTGATCCGCCGTGCTTGCCGAAATTGAGCAGAACAAAAAGGCATTCAACACGCTGCGCTATCGAATCGGCTACGACAGACAGCTAGAGAAATATCACCCATTGCGGGGGAGAGACTTAAGCATACCTGTTCTACTGAAGCCTAAGCTAATTTGAAATGTCCAAGTCTTTCACACTTCATGTCCCACCATAACTTCCAGTACTGGCAGAGGGGACCATCTTGGGAAGAGCAAAGAATGTCGTGTCATTCGAGATGGACGAAATTGATTAAAAAACGAAGTGCCTACTCTGCCTTGGAATCTCGAATCTCGAAGCTTTCACAATCCTACTCGAGCCAAGCCAAGCAAAGCCAAGCCCCAACTCTACGCGACGACAAGAGCTTCAGCAGACGATGCCATGAAATGAGGCTCACAAAGCAAAACCGCTCTCCGAATCCCAATCCTGATCACAACCTTCGGTCATGAATCCAAAATTACAATGCAGGGTACAATGCTCGTGCGGAGGTCAGTCACTCAGCAAGAGTCCTGAGGGGAGTTACCTGTTGGAGCTTGAGGTTGCGGGCATGAGCATTCTTCGACTTGACCAGGGCCTCCCACTTGACATCCATGGAATCCTCGCTAATGCTGTGCTCCAGAAACTTCTTGGGCCCGGCTTGCTGCCAGTTGCTCATGTTGGACAGGGGAGCAGGGGCCGGGGCCATGAGCTTGCCGAGCCAGGACTCGCGGGGGCCTTTGGGGAGAGGAGGCTGGAGGAGCACGCTGACGGGCGAGAACTTGTCGGCCGACGACGGCTCTTTCTGCTGCGGAAAAGCCGAGGCCGAGAGATCGGAGTACGACTGAAAATAGTCGCCCTTCGAATCGGAGCTCGGAGTTCTCAAGAACGACGAATCATACTTGGTGTCGTTGCTGGAGGTGCGCGTGTAGGCGGACTCGGCCTTGGATTCCGAGCTCGCAGTGCGCATGTACGACGATCCGGTCTTCGAGTCCGTGCTCGGAGTGCGCGAGTAGGACGAGTCGTGCTTGGAGTCGGAGCTGGGAGTGCGCGCGAAGGGCGAGTCGCTCTTGGACTCGCTGCTCAGGATCTTCGAGAAGGCCGAGTAGGCCTTGCCGAGCGGCCAGCCGATGGCGCGCGCATCGTCGGCGGGGTCGGAGGATTCGGAGGTCGCGGCCATGCCCCGCTGCTGCTGCTGCTGCTCGTAGAGCTCGTCTCGCCAGGGCTTGGGCTTGTGAGCCGGGGTCGGCTCCGCGTCGATAGCCTCCCACGCCTCGTCGCTTATGCTCTCCATGAAGCGCCCGGAGTCGCCCGCCGTGTCCTGCTTGTAGAGCGACTGCCGCAAATGCCTGCCGTAAGGCGGGCCTGCGTCGTCGCTGGGATGCGCGGGCGTGAACGAGGACGCGCTACCCCCTAGGCTAGCCCCCAGCCGCGACTGGAACGGGCTGACGTCTCGGGACCGCAGATCCGGCATACTGTCGGAAGTTGTCAGATGTTGCGGCTGCGGCTGCCGCGACTTGTACCGGTGGTGGTTAAGGATGGACGAGTCTGCCAGCGCCTGCAGGCGCCGGGCCTCGGCGTCTGGCGCGTCGGGGGCTGTGGCAGGCACCAGTTTGGCCATGCCCTTGCCGGTCTGGTTGGACGTCCGCAGGAGCGTGCCCAGGTTGCCGGAGAATTCCGGCTCCGGCTTCCGCCGCAGCGGGGGGGTGCGCGGCGGAGTCGAGTCCCCGTGCGGCGGAGTGTCCTGGAGCCGGTCCCGGGTTCCGGCGCCGTAGGCGCGCCTCGAGTCGTTGCTCCGCATGGAGCCCTCGCCCTCGTACGAGTCGGCCACCTGCTGCTGCAAGTCGACGCTGAACGTTTGCGACTGATCGTGATCCCTCGCCATCCCGCCGTCGGTGTTCGTCGACGACCCGCTCCGCGTCCGGAAATTCGCCGGCGGCCCTCGGCCCTCGTGGGCATCCTGCGCGCGAAACCACGCGGCCATGCATGCACATCAGAACCGGGCATCGATCCAAGCGACCGGCCCTGACCAAGAGACATTCACACCGCACCACTTACCGCGTAGTCCTTCTCGTCGTCGGGCTTCTCGGAGCCCCGGCCTCTGGGGAGACCCCCGGGCTGAGGGGCGGGGGCAGGCAAGCACAGCGACCCGAATGGGCTCACTTGCCAGGGGAACTTGCATTTGAAGAGCATGTTCTGCTCCTCGTCGTCGTCCTCGTCGCCGTCGTCGGCCGCGCCCTCGGCGTCGAACTGGTCCTTGAAGGTGGCGAACCGCGACCGGCCGGCGGCGGTGGCGGACCGGCCCATCCGGGGCGAACCGGAGGGCGATCCGGTGCCGGAGTCGGCCGAATCCGCCACCATGGCCTTGGCCGCCGGCAGGAACCGCTGCATGATGAAGTCGCGCGCCCGCGGGTCCGTGTGCCGCGACTTGTCGTGCAGCTCCGACTCCACGCACCCGTCGAGCATACTCACTTGGCACTGCGCTTGGTAGTGGTCCATGAGCGAGTACACGTCGCCCGCATTGCCGTCCCAGTCGCCCGAGCTGTGACTGCCGGTCTCAAAATTGTCACGCCCTCGGGGGCTGCTCGGGGGCAGCCTGCCGTTCTTCGCCTGCGGCTGCTGCTGCACGGGCGCATTCCTCGTCGGGGCGTAGAAGAAGTCCTTTTGCGCCGAGGGCGCTTGGGGCAATCGCTCCGCTCGCTGATGATGCCCGCCTCTCCGGTCTTGGGGCTTGTCTGCCCCCGCTGCTGCCCCCGTGCTGGTGCCTGAGGTCGGGGCTTGTCTGCCCCCGCTACCCTCGCCGGATCTGGGCTGGCGAGTGGGAGTGGAGCTCCGTCGCGCAGGCGGGGCTGGAATTGGGAGCGATCTCGGCGGAGTTCGATCGGTGGCTGCGGCAGCAGCCGCAGCCGCAGCCCTGCTGGGCGACGGGGCCAGCTTCGGGGGCAAGCTGGCAAAGGGGTTGAGCTTGGGCGCCGGGGTACCGGCAGGCGGGGGGTAGAAGGGCGACGCATCCTTGGCCTTGGTGGGAGTGAGCGACAGCGGCGGGAGCTTGAGCTCGGCGGGCAAAATCGACTCCTCGCGCTCCTCGATCTTCGACTTGCCCGGCGCATTCTCCCACATGAAGGAAATTCCGGGCCTCTTGACATCTTCCTCGCGCTCCGACGTGCGCCCGTCGTCCACCGAGCCATCGAACGACAGCTTCGGGGGCTCCTGCGGCTTCACTACGCGTTGCGTGCGCACGGACTTGAGGGGCGCATTGTAATTGATTCGTACTTCCGACATCGGTCGAGATGTTGTATCGCCTCTTGCTCACATGTGCCCGACGGAGTCATGCTCTTCGAGTCCACCACCTGCCACCACCCAGAGCCACAGTTATCCCCCCATTCGGACCCACCTCCATGCATCGACACGCATCCTCCCTCGTGCAATATCGCCCCCCAGCATTGGCTGCTGCGGAAACACGAGCCGAGCGGGGCAGCCTTCTGCTGCACATTATGCCGACCCTGACACATTGATTGTTTCGGGTCTCGACAGGGGGCGTACCGGGCACGGAGGAGCTGATCATTGCTCCATTGAGCACTGAGCAGCTGCTCGACACAACCCGAATGGTGCTTGCACGGACCTCATAACTGTGGCAGTTAGTGGTCAGATGATTGAGCAATTTGACAGTGAAGCTGATTTTATCTGTGAATATGGACCTCTTGGGCGCTAAATCGAGTCCTTAGCTGAGGCATCAGGATCATCTGATCTCAAGCAGCATGAAGTTGCTGCTACTCGAAAAATGTTGATCCAAATCCTGACATGCCGGTTCCGGGAGAGGCATTGGGCTAGATCTTTGAGAACTTCTACTGACGATGTAGAGAGCTAGCTAGACGCAAATTCTTTGCACAAACGGACGCAAGCAATCGAATCGAGATTGGAGAATGTCGATGCCATGTAGAGTGAGCTTACCTTGCGTCCGCTAGCGGATGCCGCGCAGCCATCGGGGCTTCCAGAGCACCATCACCTTTGCGTCTCTCTCTGCACATTCACATCATCCGGATGCAATGACGGGAGTGTTCAGCAACAGGGCCTCAAAATCGCCGTGCATTCTTCGGATCAGAAGCAGTCCCTTCGATCCACATCATCCTCATCCTCTCTCACAAACATTCTCTGCACCATCTGGAGTCATCAATGCCGACCCACTTCCAGACTCGCACTGTCTCCGTTCAACACAGCCTCAAAACTTTTACAAACCTCACAATATACACCACTGCCTAGACTTATCTTCTCGAGCCACAAATCTCTAACCAGACTGCCCCATCTGCAGCACTCCATGGACCTCTCAATCTGATCTCAATCCTTCCCGTCTCCCCTCCAAAAGCCTCAATGTCACTCTCGGTGCCTCGTCCCTCTCTCCCTCTCTCCCTCTCTCTCTACCTCTGCTATTCTCTGCTGCTGCTGCTGCTCCTCGTCCTCGCCTCCTTTGTCGGGCCGAGGTTTGCTTTCTGCAACAAGCGCGAGCTCTGGCTCTTCACAAGAGCTTACATCTGCTGTCCACAGCGGGAATGTTGACTTCCAGAATATGCGTGCAGGGAATTGTCCCGGGGACTCCGCAGCGCTTTCCCGTGCCTTGCCTTGCCTTGCCTTCTCTGCGCCTGGCCTGGGCTGGCCTTACTTGGCTTGACTTGCGAGCTCCATCCGTGGGCGTGCGCGCGTGCCTGCGTCCAGGAAATCTTCGAAACCTCGACTGAGCTGAAACTCAAGGGTTATAAATCGTGGGGGCACAGAGGAGTGGCAGCTCGGTGCTTGTCTCTTCCCCGCGTCGCGTCCGGTCGACTATCGCTCCGTGCCTCGAGAGCCGTGAGCACCAGCGGCAACACGGACAGCCCCAGCCCCAGCCCCAACCCCGGCCCCGGCTCCAGCAGGCCCAGCAGCAGGCCCCAGCCCGCTCCCCAGTCCCATCGTCGGCATTCAACCGCCTCCGGATAAGGGTGACCGACGCCTGTGCTTCCCAACTGCCGTTCCCCTCCTTCTTTCCAGCGGACCCCGCGCTCACGTCACCGCCCTCGTCTCCGCACGAAGCCGCGGCCGTTCTTATATCGAATGCCCGCCGGGTGCCGTACCCCCTCCTCTCTTCGCTTTCCTGTCTTCGTCTCCGACGGGGCACAATGACCGGCACGCCGTGCACTTCGGCCCCCTCCTCGCCGGTGAGTCGCCGGCCGTTATATCTACGGGAACCACATCGCGAAACCACGCGCGGGTTTGGCGGCATCTCGGGACCGGAGGACAAAGAGAGAAAGAACGATTTTTTTCAAATAAATAATTTTCCTTCCTTTTCCTTCCTGTTCCAAAAGATGACGGAATTTCGCCTATTTTTTTGAGAAATTTTTAAAAAATATATTATTTGGGGTCTTTTTGGAAAACTGAAGTGTCACCACTTCTCCTTCGCGAATGGGGATTTTTTGGTGACATTACATGGGGTTTAATTTGGACCATCCACGGATCGTGACCTCTCGGGCGTATTTGTTGACCGAGGGTCAAGCGAAGAGAATCTTCCGCGCATCTCAATCCGCATCACCGTAGAATTCAACGGACAGCTCGAACGGACGGAGGCGAGGTCGGAAGACGTGAGAGAAATCCATCGTCGACCGTGGCATGAATGTGACATCCGTCCATGACATAACATGACATTACATGACATTACATGACGCCCGCAAGGGCGTCCAGGTCGGGAGAAGGAACCATGATGCCCACTGTTCCGAGCGTTCTTATCCCAAGAGGTGTGGCGAGCACGGCAAGACATCCCCATGGGCGAACGACAGGAAGAGACGAGCCGGTTCAGGCACCGGCATGCACGTCGGGGGCCACCGGCGATGGGAGGTCGGGGACGGGACAAAGCCACTATCATGGGGCGTGAGGGGCAGGGCCCAGCAGGTCGCCATCGCGTGCCCGGGCCGCTGGCCGAGCTGCCCTCGACCGAGATAAAGCCCACGTCTCCGAGCGACTCTGGCCCTTCACTCGTCCGGAAAAGCGTCGCTCGCATCTCGTTACCCCCCGGAAACACTCATAAAGTAAGCCCCTGCTGTACAGACTGTCCAGCCCCAGCCCCAGCCCCAGCCCCTGCCCCACCGAAGAAAGAGGTGCGCGTGAAAAATCCCCTCCAGCTCCGCGACCGGGGCAATTCGCGATCATCTCCCCCCTCCCCCCTCTGCCCGACCTTCTCTGTCGGTTCTGCCCCCTTCCTGCCCCCCGACTGCCCCCTGACCGCCGAAGCCCCTGCTTGAAGACAATAGATCGACCAGATGTTCCACGAATTATTGCGCCTCTGCCACTGGTCAAACCGCAGGACGTACCTCGTACGCACCTCTTTGACCGGCCCTGGAACCAGAGTCGGAGGCGAGTTACGGGTTAACTCGGGTTACAGGATGGCTCACCCCGGGTGCATTACCCCTCAACCTCGCTTACCCCCGGGGGGGAGGGGGTAACGGGGGCCTCTCTAAACCTCCCATCTTTCACACTTCGAAGCCATTGGTCCGATTTGGGTCTGCGCAGAGTACTTGAATATTTCATCGTGCTTTAAAGCTGATGAGCACCACAGATCGCGGTGTGTTAAGAAGCCCTCGATCGCCACCAGGAGAATGTTAGGATCAGAGGGAGATCTTTTTCCCGATCGATCGGGGCCAGAGTTAATGAAATGTCCGGACTTCGTACTCGCACAATGTTCAATCCTGAACGTCAATCATGGTTCGACCGGGTTCATTACACTGCGAGTTCGCGAGCTCCATGGGCTTGTTGCTACCGAGCCACACTTACACTTGGTTCAGAGTATAACGCCTGCCTGCTTAATGCTCCACAGTGGTTCAGTTCAGTTCAGTTCAGTTCAGTTCGCGTCTGTGTGGATTATGATGGAGCCACACTTACTTCTGCCCGAGAGCTGTGTCCCTTGTCCCCTTGTCGCTTCCCTTGTATGCCTTCCAAGAGCCTGGCGATGATACGATAATCATAATAATAAGCCCCGACGAAGACAACTTTCGATCAGACCCGGCCTCGTGCAAGTGTTCGTTCGCCATTGGTTGCATTGATCTCCAAAGTGTCCATCGTTCGACTTCTCTGAGGCTATCGTATCGAGCATATCATGACTGGAAACTGGAAACTGATAAGATTCATCATCTGGAGGTGACCAACACCCTCCTCATACTTAGAGCCCGTGCAGCAGCAGCAACGAGGATGAGCTTCGCAGATTTCTTGTGTTTTTTAAAGGTTTCAAATTCATAACTGACGAGGGTTATGACTCGCAACTTTGACGTGCCTTCTTTAGTGGCACCCTGAGCATGAGATGTTGATGATGCGATTCTTGCATTTAATCCATGCTGCTCTTAAATATGAAATTCGTGTGTGAAGCTCATCATGAAGTAAAAGATTTTATGGATTACTCATGGCTGGCTCCAAGCTCATGATGGAGAGGATCTAGTTATGAGTCTCTCTCTGGTCTAGTCTGATTCGACATGTCAACCCCAAGCGACGTCCATAGCTCATAACACTGCGTTAATGTATAGAATTCCAACAGGTCGCATGAATTTTTGGACGCAAACTATGAACTTATTAAGTCTTAAAAGGAGCCATCACAATAATGGTGACTCTATCCATGCAAATTATCATACGGGAAGAAAATAATTGAATTTTTTTTTTTTAAAGTCAAGTGAAATGACCAGTGATTGTGAAGGAAGCTTCCGCATCATTTATCTCCTCGTATCCGATCTTTGTCGACTTGAAGAAGTTTATGAAATCTACTTTAAGGGACTCATTAGGTACAGGATCTGCTTTGGAGCTACTATTAAGAATGGCAGGGTCAACACATAAGTTGCTTCTTCTTCTCTTCCCTTTATCTTTAACACATACCATGGCAGTCATGCTCTTGGGTACAAGCACGATGCTTGGAGGTTGTTCACCTATTTTTATTTTTATGGATAAAGTGAGGATGCCAGCTTGTATCAATTGCAAAATACGAAATTATTTAGTCCCGAGGTTTTTAACTTGTCGATCACGCTTTCCTTTCCTGCATAACTATGGTTATGGCTATGCACTCTGGTTACTTGGACGCAAGTTGCAAACTCCCTTGAACCTAGTTGAGAATCCGTGTCACTGCTGGAGTATAGGGTACGCAAGAACCCTCTTATCTCCCCAGCACTCACATGCCAAATTTGTTGGCCGCCATTTGAAAATCACCAGTAAAAATACTGCCCAAAAAAAGATTCAGCGATTTTTTTATCGGGTTTGGTCTGAAAGTAGCATTGATTTGCATCGGGTTATGTAAATAACATTTTGAAGCAGGGCTCATTCACTATGGCATCGAAGGGCAGATAAAAAATACTTTGTTCCAAAACTTATCAAAGATTTTGACCTCCAGGTGCTGAAGAAACGACGTTTGTTATCCTATTTGTTACATTCAATCCGTCGTGATTGATATTCTTTGTAATATATATTTTTGAAATGCGAGCATCCATCACCAAGAAGACATCGAACCTTCAAAGTTTGGCACATGCCTTCTTCAACATCCGCACAACAATGTGTAATGAAGTAAATCAAAGAGCTGCTATTGGACGAGACCCGAGACAAATTTTGAAACTAGTCAGTCATCGTATTGCAGGTGGCTTACATATCAAGATCAAATTGTATCACGCTCATGGCTTTTGTTAACAAATTGTAGGGTAATGAGTGAAGCTGTTGATTTATCAAACTTGACGAGATGGAAACCATCAGTCACTCTGATTTCTAGATCCATATGATTAGAACAAAGGGTCGGCGAGGCATCTCAAACTGTGCTGTAGGATCTACATTCTTAATATATAATAAACATGCAGCACTGAATAGCTTATGACACTCTCCTGAATTCGACACAGGCTCCGAGAAGTGAGCTTCTTTCGGAGTTATGGAACTCATCATATATATTATCAGAAATTCCGGGTCAATCATATTTCTGGGATCGCTGGAGCTGTCTGGCAACTGGTCACAAGTCCTAAAGGTCCATGATTCATGGTGAAATCCTGTAGCACATATTTGACTTCCCCATAGGTAAATAAATCATGGAGAATCATTGAGTACATTACAGAGTCGGTTGAAAATCCTTGGGCCATGGACTCATTAGATCATGAAAACAGCCATGAAATTCTCCAGGCAGGCGGAGACCTTATCTAAGACATGAGACTATGTGAAGATAAAGCGGTCCCCACATCGTCATCACCACTGCATCACAAGAGCGTGATAGGAGCCCCCTGCCTGATTTTAGCTACAGCCTTTCATGTCCAACTGTGCGAATGATGACGTCCATAGTTCCAAGGCCCCACTTACCTCTACAGTTCCAGCCACAGGCATCCATCCTCATTTTGTAATTACAGATGCCCTTTGTTCCCATCCACATTGCACGGGATCCATATTCCAGTTTCTCCTATAAAATAAAATGACATGAAACATTCGCTCGATTCATTAGGCGTTGCGAGCCAGATTTTGCGAAGCATCTTTCTACTGCATTTAAACTTTTATATTGCTTTGCATATGTTGGATGAATGACAGACAATGTGCACTTGGAGAGCCCAAAAATCGGATGTAATTTAGACGTATCATGGAAAGAAATAAGAGAAAACATATATGAGAAAATTGTATTCTTCTCACATATGATTTCTAGAAGCTTAGACTTGGTAAACTTAAGCTTACCATGTTCTAAAGTTTTTCTTAAACTAGGAGCCGTCAAGAAATGGTCAGGACTTTGTACGCAGCCAATAAATCTGACCAAGAAAAGTCCTTCCTTAAGAAAAAAATTTGACTTTCTGTTGCGGAGAGTCAGTCATGTTGCACAGAAGTCGATGAG